CGCGTTCCACCCGTGTTAAATAGTTTACCTTTTTCAAGCCTGTCAGTTCCTCTGAGAATTTTGTAGGTAGTGATCATGTCTCCCCTTACTCTTCTCTCTTCCAGTGTCGTGAGGTGCATTTCACGCAGGCTGTCTTCGTAATTCATGCCTCTGAGTTCTGGGACTAGCCTAGTGGCATACGTCTGAAATTTTTCCAGTTTCGTCTTGTGCTTGACAAGGTTCGAGCTCAATGCTTGGGCCGCATTCTCAAGGATTGGTCTTACATATGTGGTGTACAAGGTTCTGAATGATTCCTGACACTCAAGGGACTATGGGGAGGGAAAGATTATCTACCTTATCATTCAGCTACGATAGTCGTGGATCCGACGTCGTGATAGCAATCGGTGTACGACTATCGTAGATCTGCTCTGCAATGACAGTTGGTGTCCGGCTCGTCGTAGGTCCAAAGACGACTCGTAGGCTGGTTCATCTTCTCCGTGCACGTCCCCCCCTCTGCAGCTCTTCCTTCAAACACACATTGAAGACACTGCAGGCTGGCACTGCTCACAGCTTCCTCCCTCACTTACTGAATATGTTGCCTCTTCCCTGTAGTCTCGTCGTCAGTAACAATTTACTGCTCAGTAGACCCAGCCTGTCTTATCTTCAGCCTCACTGAGCTACCAATGGTGGCGGCCTCGCAGGATCTGACACACAGCTCCTCCCGGTGCCGACTCAAAGCGATCACAGGTCTGGTCGGCCTCTGGCTCCTGGTCTCCTCTTCCCACCAGCAAAGCTCTGCCTCACGATGCTCCCCAGGAGATGACAAGCCTTCCTCGTCGCTTACAGTGGTAACTGCTGCCGATAGTCCTTCCCGAGGCCTCTTCGCCTCCCAGACTAGAGAGCTATCGATCGCACTTCCGCTCGGTTACGTCACAGGGGAAGCTCTGGCGCTCACTTCCCGCCTAGAGCTGTGGGTGCCCGCTGACCTGTTTCGTCTTGCCCTGGGTGCCATTCTATTGGTCAACAATGCCACACCCCCTCTACTGACCAATCAGCAAACGGTTGGTATGGCTCCCACAATGCCTCGTAGCCCTGCCCCCTTTGGCGGGAAAGCACTCCTCCACTGTGGATCCCCTCTGCCATCTTTTCCTGGGGAAAAAAATCCTAAAGCTATTTTCAAAGCCAACAAAAATCATAATTGCTGTCAACGGATATCTCAGACTTCTCCTTAAATGTACAAAATATCTTTCCCATACTTCAAAGTATATAGAAATCAGGGTGATATGACTCTTATATGCAGGATATTGGTTCAAATAGGGCTGAACTCCATAACAATGTCTATAAACACATTATAATAGCCTTCGATGACCTTTAGTAAATGCTTGTGCTTGAATATATAATCAACGGCCTCTTCATCAGAAAGTTTCACTAGAACAGGTTTGCTCCTGTTGCCATTATTAGGCCCAATTCGGTGGCTGAGTTCAATCTCGTTTCCTGACCTCTTAGCATTAATACACCTCAATATTTCTCCTAGTTTAAACTTTTCAATCTGTATCTTTCATGTTTTGATGTTGCCTTTGTTTCACATAATTCATAAATGACAAGTGTCCACTTCCTCTGTGTTCTACCTCCTGCTGGTCGTACCCCACAGTGTTGCAGCCCTTACTGAGTCCGTATCATTTCCCGCTTGGGTCTAGTTGTATCTTTTGTCCCATATTAGAACAATTTTTGTAAGATTCTCCTCCAAATTCTGTAGTCTACCCTCACTGTCATGTACACATTTGCTGATGCATATTAATGCTACTTGCGCTTAACTCCTTGTCAAGCAGTGTACATATGGTTTCACATTCTCCCCTCATCTTCCTGATTTCCCCCTGAATATAGTCACTGATGAGCACTTGTTTTTGTTTCTCAATCTCATCCAGTATATGTTGAAATATCTCTCTTTTAATTGCAAGGATTAAATCCTCCATCCAATCACTCCTCTCAACACATTTCCCTATCACTTTCTTCAGCGATGTCAAGTAATGATGGGACGATATCGACGCTATTTGTTGAGCGCACCAGACCCCAGTTCTTTAAGGAGGGGAGGTGTGACGACGTCAACGCCATCTGTTGAGCACACCCGCCCCCATTTCCTGCTCCCCGGTGGAAGGTTGTGATCTTATTGACACCTGTGTAGTTTTCTTTTTACTATTCATTTTCTACACCTCAGAGGTGATGTGGGTGGTACCTTGGTGGACAAGAGTCAGTTCAGCCAGGCCAGTCCTGAGCTTAAGACGTGTTCCAGTAGAAACACGTGGGCCAAGTCGGTGCAGATTGTGATTTGTCTGTGATACCTAGTGAAGTATTGGTGATTGGACCGCCGTACCTCGGGATAGCCAAGTTGAGTTACGAGACGGAAATATCCGACAGTTAAGACTTCTTATAGCTGAAGCCTGAGTGGAAGCTCGACCGAGAGTTGCTGGAGACCCCTGCCAGTGTGCTGCAGCTAGCCAGTGTGCTGCTGCAGCCAGCCAGTGTGATGCTGCAGCCAGCCAGTGTGTTGCTGCAGCCAGCCAGTGTGATGCTGCAGCTAGCCAGTGTGATGCTGCAGCCAGCCAGTGTGATGCTGCAGCTAGCCAGTGTGTTGCTGCAGCCAGCCAGTGTGTTGCTGCAGCCAGCCAGTGTGATGCTGCAGCCAGCCAGTGTGATGCTGCAGCCAGCCAGTGTGATGCTGCAGCCAGCCAGTGTGTTGCTGCAGCCAGCCAGTGTGATGCTGCAGCCAGCCAGTGTGATGCTGCAGCTAGCCAGTGTGATGCTGCAGCCAGCCAGTGTGATGCTGCAGCCAGCCAGTGTGATGCTGCAGCCAGCCAGTGTGATGCTGCAGCCAGCCAGTGTGATGCTGCAGCCAGCCAGTGTGATGCTGCAGCTAGCCAGTGTGATGCTGCAGCCAGCCAGTGTGATGCTGCAGCTAGCCAGTGTGTTGCTAGAGAGTAGAAGTGGTTTTTTTTTTATCATGGCGATACTGTATAGGACTGGCCAATGATTTTCTGAGAAAAGTGAACTCGCCGGCGTGAGTACCATAGAAGAGAGACTCAGGGGAGGGTACCTTGAGTGGTGTACTAGAGAAGACAGAAGTGGACTCGCCGGGTTAGGAGATCTCACTTTCTATTATAGTGTCCTGTGTGAAAGTGACACCTGCGGCGTTATGTGCTGTACATATGTGTATATATATATTTAGGAAGTACACTTGGTGATGGTTTTGTTTAGTGTTGTTTACCCTCTTTCCCGTGAGATTGACGATAACTACCAGTTCCTAATAACATACCTGTGACTCGGGGTGGGATCAAGTAAGAAGAGGCATTAAGGCAAACTTATATAGTTCGAAATAAATAGAATCCGGTTACAGGCTAAGTGAGGTTGTAACATCTCTCCTCCTCTTCCCTGATGCTGCTTCACCTGGTCGGCCTTCCTGATATTGGTCATTACAATAAACTACCTCAGCCACCAGAGGGGTCCCAATTACCTTACTGGTCTGCTGGCACAATAGGTGAGCGTTACCAGACGTCTTCTCCAGGTGTAGTGTAGTAGCAGGTGAGGTCAAGGGGTCAGTGTGAGATCAACTCGCCACCCCACTGGTCGTCTCCACAATGTGGT